TAGTGGATAAATTGTCTTACATTGTCACAGATATTGGCTAAATACCTAAAAGTTCTGTATTCTTGCTATTTTCAGTCCCTCAGGAAAGAAGTAGTTGGGTTAATTAAAATTACATATCTTAATGGTCCATGAAGTGAATGATGTGGTATGTTCTTGGATCTAAGAGAGAACATTGAATCTAAAATACCTACTAGATTTAAGGATATCCATCCATTGTGCTTTAAAATTCAGAGTGATTCATCTTCCATCGCTCTGTCTAAATATCAAACGTAGAGTGAGTCAAATGCAAGTGAACTGGATTGTCTGTACAATCAGTTCCAGAGAGCGACAGCTCCAGGAGCTGGAATGTGACTGGAAAAGCTTGGGCTTGATCAGACATTGCGTTTTCTGGCCTTGAAATCCACTAAAATGATGAGAACGGTGGTCATCCTCTCACAGATGGAGAACAAAGTCCCAGCTGCAAGTGGAAGAGGACATGAGTTTAGGGGACACAGTTGTAAAGATATAGGAAAAAGGTTTTAAGGAAAGGGAAGACTAAACAGCCATTTGTGTAAGGCTTTTGGAATTCTGAATAGACTTTTTAATGCATGTTTGTATTTAATAAGTATGCAGGATTAAACTGGTCTACAAAACACTTCCCACCCACATTCTGATAATATCAAACAGAGGTTAATACCGAAATGAACATATTCAGTTATGGAGAATGGTTTTTAAAATACTGTAAACAAAATATCATGTTTTAAGAGATGCGGTAAATAATAAATGTGATTAATAAGGTAGGAGGAATATAGACAGTGAGAAACCAACCATCCAGGACTAGATTAAGGTCATCATTCCTAAAATTTGACTATTCATCTATATACTAGCATGGAAAGTGAGTGATCCTACTCTATTTGGTGAATTTCTAGACACATCCAAGGGGGATAAAATTGCAGATCTTTGCATCCTGAAGGGTTTGCTTTTGTTTCTTAAGACAACATCCATTTCGAAAGGATTAAAACCTGCTTATATAATTTAAATACACCTTATTAACAGTTATGGGTTGTTCAAATCTATCATATTATCATTTAGTATAATTCTCACTCTTTTGTGTGGAATCTACTACTCATTTTGGGTCTATATATTATTATCATTTATGATAGCTTCATAACAGTGCATCTGCTCTAATTACAAGGAGAGCACTCTAAAATACTTCCATTATGTCATGGATCAGTTGTTCTGTCTTTTTAATCATGGACATGTAGAACAAAAGGAGAAATCTGAAAGAAATGGATTAATTAGGCTGTAGCTTTATTAACTTCTTCCATTTGGGAGCTGCTCAGGAGTGGTTCATCCAATCAATTTGTCATTGTTCTGGTAATTATTTCCAGGTGTTTGGTGTATTGTCAGCATCCCCTGCTGATCACAGCTATTCTCTGCATTGCTACTCAGTGCCCATCTTCTGTCTCTTAATAAACACCTCAAGGCTTTGGAAAAAAAATATTTCCTCTGTCTATTAACCATTGAAATCCTTGTTTAATGCTTTTCTCTCAGGTAGATGTTTTGCCTTAAGTCTGCTCATGAACTTCCAGTAGCTTTTTTTGGTGACTTCTGCAATTATCTGTTGACAGATGTTTGCAGTTGTTAAGCTCTGGAGACATGGTGGGATTGTTGGGGTGTCCTGTGTAGGGCCAGGAGCTGACTCGGTGATCCCTACAGTTCCAACCCAGGATATTCTGGGATTTCATGAGTATTTCTCATAGCTGCAAGTGGTCCTAAAAACCTGCAGTTCTTATCATCTGTACTCCAGAAGCAGAATTGTTTCATGGAGCTGCTGTAATGATGATGGAAATGGATATTGTGTGCAATAAGAAGGAACTGAAGTACTGCCTTTCGTCTGTCAGGACTCCTCACAAAAATGACAAAGCCAAAAAGGGACAGTAGGGACAAGAGTGGAAGAAGAACACAGTGAAACTGAAGGACAAATGGGTCATGAGAAGAAATGGATTTAAATTATCTAAAAATACAGGCAGTGTGGCATTAAAGTGTCTCTAACGAAAGGAACCTGTCAGATCCTGGAGTTCATTTTGGAGTGAGTTTCCTCATATAGCATTAATTGGGGTTAAATGTCTGAGCTGCTTCTAAGATGGAAGCTTGATAGGTTTATGAGTGTAGCTATTATAATATTAAGATTATTATTAATTATATTATCACTTCACTGACTGCAGTGGCAAGGAAGCAGACCTGATGGCTGCAGATGTCTTTGTTTCTTGTGTCGACCCAATTTTCACTGAAAGTAATTTAATATAGATTACAGAACAACTTGAAATGCATTTGGAAAGAAATGGATAACTAAATGGAGGGTTGACTTTTTCCAGATAAAAATGTTTCTCTAAAGAATAATTGGCCTTGCTGAAGCTCCACTGATACCTTTAGCCTAAGAGTAGTTTGATATCAGTGCTGTAAAAGGATTAAAATATGTTAGTTGGCACTGAGAGACATGAGTCTTCCTCCCCATAACTGCTATTTTCTTTGGTTATTAGTTTCTAAATGATGAACTATTAGATTTTGTTAAGTTTTAAACAACCTGCTGTGAACTTTTGTACTTGTACTTTTTTTGTTTGCTTATTTGATTACATCTGTTTAATAATTTTTACTTCATTATTTTGGAGTTTTATTTCACCTAATGTGAGCTAAGACTAACTATCTAATCCAAGCTCTTTTAAGGTTTTTTGGTTTTGTTTGTTTCTCTTTCTATTTGACCCTCTGTGCATATTCCCTCTGCCATTGAGTGTTGATTTTTAAATCTTTTTGCAAGGGATATCTCCTTGGATGTTCACGTCTAAGAAGACAATTTTCCTTCTTGCTTTCCTGGTGCCACTGGCCAATTATCAAATATTATTTCTTTCTTTCATAGTCCATTATAAATATTTATCTGAAGCTGCACACTGCTAATTTGGCAGAAAATGGTAAAATCTCTTCAGTACCAAAATGGAAGTTAAACAATTTTCAGGCTTCTGATTCAAAAATCAAAAGCTTGCTTTGGCTGCCACTTCAGCTTTGATTTCTCTAAAATTCAGTACCTTCACTTACAAGGGTTTTGCTGCTGGATGCTTGGAATCACTTCCATCTCATCTGAATCCTACTTGGAGCTTAAATAAGGGAAAGCCTTGCTGGGATTTCCTGTGGTTGTTTGTGTCCCCTTGGGTTCAGTCAGCTCAGCATGCTCCAAGAGTGCATTTTGGAGCAAACTCTTGATTTACTCTGGGATTGTTGGTTTCCCTCCATAAATAATTGGAGGGAAGATGATTCCTTACAATGTTACTTGGGTTAGATGAAGCCAGTCCTGCACTGGGATCAAATTCCCAGTTAGGAAATTCACATCCAACCCTTGCTCACATTCTGGGCTCTCAGCTGTTCTGTGGTCGCTCTCAATATCTCCTCTTATATGAAATATTTGAGTCACTGACTCATAATAATAGCAGTGAAGTTTTATTTCCAATTTTTAGCACGCTCTCAGCCAAAAGTTGTGGATAAATTTTCAAACAACTGTTTGAATTAAAGTATGTGTTAGAAAAAATCTTTGTGGCGTCAGAATTCCTTGCTCCTAGTTTCAGTGATTTTTGGCACACAGGAGAAATGCCTGGAATGGTAGGGACAGCAATGCGAGATCCTCCTCCAGAAACCTTGTTTTCTTTTTTACCTTGAATTTCAGCTCTGTGATGCTTAGCAATATAACATTTAAGTATGTTTAATTTGTTCTCCTTTTATCTAGCAATGATTGATTGTTAATTATCTCCTAAGAAATTTATGGAGAGTTTTGCCAACCCTATGGAAAGCTAAGAGGAATATATAGCTTTAGAAATAAACCACTTGAATTGTATTTTAAAATTTTATATTATCAGCTTATCATCCAAGATACTCTGCTTGAAGATTATAATTTGAAAACACAGTCCTAATGGTAAATATAATAAGGAAAATAGTGCTGATGGGAATTAATCACTGTGGCTGTCTCAAATCTCTCCCCCACTATTTGCATTGTCTTATGGGAAGTTTTGCCTTATGGGATTTTTTTTTTAATGTTGTTGTAATAATCTTAAAAGCAATGTAAATATGCTTTGATTTCACATTAGGAGTACTTTCTTCTTGAGATTCTGCACTGGAGAAAAACTGGATTTTTTTTTTAACTACAGCAAATATTGGGTTAATATAGAATCTGTGAATCATAGCCAGGCTGGGAGAGGTGGGGAGAAGAGTCTGGAAAAGAGGAGGCTTGAGAGAGACCTTCCAGTGCCTAAAGGGACTCCAGGAGAGCTGGAGAGGGACTTGGGACACAGCATGGAGTGGCAGGACAAGAGGGAATGGCTTCAAACTGCCGGGTGCAGGGTTAAATGGGATATTGAGAAGGAATTCTTGCCTGTGAGGGTGGGGAGGTGTAGGGGGATACAATATAAGAAATTAAAGGTAGTATAGAAAGTAATCTTACCCCATTAAGGAGTTGCAGCTGAGCTAATTATTAAGGATTAGGAGCAGGCCTGATGTTAACAGGCCACAGCTGGAGCCAATCAGAAGAGTGTTATAAAAGAGTGGATTAGTTGGTTGAGGGGAACTGGAGTCAGTTGGCTGCTGTGAGGATGAGGAGGAGTCAGTGCCTGGAGGAGCTGCCTACGAGAAACATCAAGGAGGTGCAATATGGAACCCTTGCAATGTAATGACAATAGAACTCTTGCACTATAATGACAACAGGGAGGCCCTGGAATGGTTGCTCAGGGAAGCTGTGGCTGCCCCTGGATTCCTGGAAAAGTCCAAGAAGTTAGAGGGGCTTGGATTGCCCTGGGACAGTGGAAGGTCTCCTTGGAGTGGATCTGGATGGGCTTTAAGTCCCCTTTCAACCCAAGGGTTTTGTAGTTCTCTTGATTTTTTTTATTTTTCCCAGCAGCACTTAGTTTATCTACTTTGTAGAAAAATAAAACCCACAAGGCTGACCACTAACCTGAGCACTGTCTGTGTCCCTCTCCCAGGAGAGACGATGCGCATCGCCTCGTCGGAGTTCGCGGACGACCCCTGCTCCTCGGTGAAGAGGGGCACCATGGTGCGCGCCGCCCGCGCCCTGCTCTCGGCCGTCACCCGCCTGCTCATCCTGGCTGACATGGCCGATGTCATGAGGCTCCTCTCACACCTCAAAATCGTAGGTGTTTTTCAACTTCTCTCTTGGGTTTGTGTGCTTTGGGCATGGAAAAATGGGATAAATCACTTAGGAAGGTGATTGTCCATATTCCTTACTCTCTGCTTAGTTCTCTTGAAGTGCTGATCAGAGGTAGGAGTTAACACAATTCTGCATTAGTCTCATTTATTTTCTAATTCTGCAGAAATTAATATTTGAACACTTAAAGCAAAATTTGTGAGCTGTCTTCATTGACTGGACTAATTCTGCTGTTAAACAGCTCTCTGACCTGAACTGAAGCATTTGCTCCCCTCACATCTTATCCCACATACTTTCCCAGTATTTTGACTTTCTGGCACAGTTTGGGTACTATAGTTATCTACTCTTCTTTTTTTTCCTCTTTGTAACTTCTGAATTTATCTAAAGATCCAATGTTTAACTTGGAGAGAGACAATAGTACAACTGTCTAATCAAAGATTAAAGAGGAATTAAAGATTACCAGATTTATATTCTCTTTTGGCTGCCACCATTCACATTTTTATGCAGGAGTATTAAAAAGATTTTCAGTTGAAAGTAGGAAATGCATTTTTCCACCTTCCCTAGCTGCTGTTGCACTGTTACATTTTTATTGCAGAAACAAATCATCAAAAACCTCTGAAACAAAATAAAACTGTGCAGAAAATCATATACAGAATATTTAAAGCCTGCTGAGTCCATGTGTGAGTTTAACAGAGGAGATGGAGAGTTGCTTCTTTTTAACAACTGTTCAAAAAGTTGTTTTGTTGGTTTTTTTCCTTTTTTAAAATTTGTCTTTTTCATGGTGCAACTGCAATTTGATGTTCTGGAAAAACAGAACCCCTTCAACTTGCAAAGTGTGCAGATAACCTGAATAGCTGGAAAACAGTTTTCATAAGGAAAGAGGCCGATTTTTCAGCACAAGTTCTAGTGAGCTCTGCTTTAGTGGATAAAATGCTGCTCTCAGAATTGTCAGCACATGGCTCTGGTTATGTGCAATGTAAGCAGTGTCTCTCTCCAGTATGCTTTAAATTTTTCCTCTCTATAATGCTCCATGCAACTGTAATTCAAATTGTCCTTTCCTAGCAAGACCAACACTTGAATATCATAAACAACAGCTTTTTTCTGAACATTATTATGAAAATTTGTATTCAAGCTCTTCCATGGGCAATGAGAAATTCTGTTCTCCCATCTGAGATTTCTTTTGCAGCAGAGAACTCTGTTGTGTAAAATACAAATGTCCAGTGCTGGTTTGTAAGTGGGTGCATTTACTTGCACAGTTTGCACCCCAGATTTGCAAGGGCTGTGTCTGTCAGTGTGATTTGTAATCTCTGCATTTATCTAATGGTATTACAAATTCAGTTTTTGTAGAATCATCTCTGGTTCTCTTCACAAAATTCAACATTCAACCTTAATTGTCACTTTTATTTTCATGTTAAAAAGGATAATTTATTTCTGAGGATTGAACATGTGAATATCCTTATTTTACCACTTTACAGTGCTAACTGCTTTTAGACAAATGAATTACTAGGGGGAAAAATGGTTATCCTATACAAAATTGATGGAGAAAAACTATTCTATTCTCAATAGTACTCAAATAGTAACCTTCAAATAGTTACTCAAAGGTAACCTTCAAAGACTTGTGTAAGTTACCCATAAAATTAATGAACTAAAATAATTCTGCATGTCAGAGTAATGAAGCCTGATTTATGCTGAATTGTGCTGTAATCAGTTTTCTCTGAAAGCATGTCAAAGGCTTCCCAGGAAATGGTGCATTTTAATTAGTGTTTTACAGGGAATATATGCAGGTGCTTTCTGGAAGGACTCTTGGTCATTGCATATCTTTTACACTGCTAAAATTAGAAATAGTGGTTATTGCTGGAGCTTTGTAACACATTAAAAAACCATGTACCATTATAGTATGTGGTCATGCACACAGAGGATTATAGATCTATTGTAATTAACTCCAGGCTGGTTAATCAGAGGAACAGATCAGTTGAAGTTGAGTGTTGTTTCAAGGATGGAGAATTTGTTCCAGTATGAATTTGTAAAAAATAAATTTTAATCATAAAATTCTCATTAAAAGGAGCTTGTGCTCCTGTCCTTTCTAGTATTTCTCATAACTGATTTTTTAATTTTGGAATCTGTGGTCTGACTGACACAATAGAGTACAATCAGCATCCTTTGAGATCTGATTATCAGAGTAGAATCTCTGACAAAATTTTCAGGATTTCTATTTAATACGGAGCAGGACTTAGAAAAACGTATTTCACTTTGTCATGCCTGTGCTTGGCATTGCAAACATAATAAAGATGAAATTTTCAGGTATTTTAATGTAAATGTTTCCTGATGAAAATGGAAAATTGGCATATTTTGCAAGAAGTTCTGCAAGAGCAAGTTATTTAATACATTGATGCTTTTGCAATTTGTGTTAATGGTAAGGCAGCAGTCAGTTCATTTTTTTAAAAAAAACTCTGTTCTCCTTAAGAGTAAAAGAAGAGAGAACTTGGATTCTGAATAAGATTGTAGCTTGTAAAGTGGCAGAACTTGGTTTATAATTTCCAGCATAACAGCTATGAATTTATGCTCCTGAATTATGCATTTTCCAATAGAAATGTATGAGTTTGCTACTCTGCTGCCCTGTAATTTGTAAATCTGCAGTAAGTAGGTAAAAGCTCAAAATGAAAATATACTCTCTCAGTGGTAGGAAAACACAGAGCAACTCAAGCAATAAAAAGACAGGTTCTGCACATAATTGTGCCTTTCTAAACTGTTAGACACCAGCTACTGCTGAATTTATCAATTCCCAACAGTGTCTGGAGGGCTGCAAACCCCTCCTTGTCCCCATGCCAATAAGCCCTTGCCTTTTGAGGGGAAAACTTGTTATGCATGTTCTTATGAACTGCAGCTTTTAGCTAAACAACAGCTTTTAGCAAGAAGCGTCAGTAACATCTTTTCAGTTCTCAATGTTTTTGCTTGGAATTGCATTTTTATCTTGCAAGGAAGAGAAGTACAACTTTGAATTTCCATCTAGTCACAGTAATGCTTCCTTTACTTATTGCATGAAAGGAGCATTTCATCCCTTCAGATATTTTTCTTGCTTTGTATAAGATAAAGGTTCACAATACATTTGGTGGATCAACTTGTTGGTATAACTGAGGTTTTATATTTTTGTCTGTTAGCTACAGCATGACTGCATAAGTGCAGGTGTGGATTTTTGGGTAGATTCTTTTCCTAGTGTTAAATAACTAAAGAATGAAAGCTCAAAGCTGAGGAAAACAGAAATAATGCAAATATTCTGGGTTGAAGCTATCCTTTGTTTTACAAAGATAGAGTCTTTTGGATTTATCAGGGTCAATTCAAACCTTAATGGTAAGTTTGAATTTCCGTTTTAAATGTTTCTCGTCCAGAAGTGATAATTTTCTTTGTTTTCCCATAAAGCCTGTATCACACATTAAGAACATACTCATGTATTTTGTTTTGAACCCCTCAGATATTAAATATTTCATCAGATAAGTGTGGGTGGTGAAATTAAAGCAGTGATATCTTTGACATTATCTTTACATGATCCCAAAGCACAGTAAATGGACAGTAATGCAGAGTGACAGCTGCTCTATTAAAAACCTAATTAAAGTTCATGGGACTCTCATAAAGCCTCTGTACAGTGATGGATGTGAAACCTAAATTGGGTCCATGTAAGACAGAGCATTGGGTGGAACAGTCACAGATTTTTCAAAGAGTGGATTCAAATGCTGACAGAGCTGATTTATTGTGTTGTAGGTAGAGGAGGCACTAGAAGCTGTGAAAAATGCAACCAATGAGCAAGATTTAGCCAATCGCTTTAAGGAGTTTGGGAAGGAAATGGTTAAACTGAACTATGTTGCTGCGAGGCGACAACAGGTGAGTACAGGAGTGGCTGGAAAAGTCCATCTTCATTCTAAAGTTCTCCTTTTTTATGTCCAAGTCTGGTTTAAAATGTACAATGAACCATTAATTGCTATGTCATGGCCTATAATTTAATTACACTGATTAGTTTTGAATGTGGTGATGTTTTTCAGAAGTGCCATTTCTTTAAAAGTACCTTCCAAGAGGCCTCAATTAATAACAGATTGAAGGGTGAAAAGGGAAGTGGTTCAGGAGGTTAAGGATAGTTTTAATTTGATGATTATTCCCGTTTAATTCTAACCTATGCAGATTTCAGGTCACTCTTACAGCTGGTAAAGCACGAGCTCTTTGCTAGTTCAGTATAATTCAAGTTCAGGAGGAACAGAAATCTACTTTGTGCTTAGAACCATTATTAATAATTTCCAGATTTTTAAAAAAAATTATTCATTTATCCATTTATTCATTGATAAGGCAGCTGAAAAAGAGACCAGAAAGTCATGATAACGTTTATTCAAGGCTGGTTATTGTACAACTTTGCAATAAAGATAGCTTTCCCCTGAACCCTGCTCTTTTCAAGACTCTGTAGAGTTGTATAAGGTCTTTCCAACTTCAATTATATTTGAATACCACCAATAATTCAAGGATGTGCCATCTTTGCACTGCATTGAACACTGGATTTGGAAAGCTGGCTTTCCATATTCATCCACCTATTTACCTTATTTTCTGAATTGCAGTATTGACAATTTTCTTCTGAATCATGATTGTGGGGCTTTTTTATTAAAAATAGCATTTTAACAGTTATACTAAAATTGAATCAATGAATATCTCAAGTTGGCAGAGACCTGTAAGGATCATCAAGCTCATCTGCTTGCTCCTTGCAGAACTACAGAAAGCAAACCATCTGACTAAGGCAAATAAATGAAAATGTAAAATCTAGGCACTATATGGAGAATGCTCTTCTGTACATTCAGACACTTTCCCTGTGGAAACAGAGCTGCAAATATGGGAAAAAGAGGAAAATGTGAAAGTTAATGGATGTCTGTGTCTCTTAAGTTCTCATTGAAGACACAAGAATATGCCAGTGAAGATTGTTACCTGTCAGCTGCATGTGGTTGAAATTAATCAGTGGGCAGAACCTTTAAATTCAGAGTATCTAGGTCCTTTTTCAGTGTTGGCAATGGATTCCATGTGTGGGCGTAAATAAACTATTCAGCTCTCCAGCCTGGTTTGTTCATAGTTTTAAAGTAGAAGTAATAATATTTTTTTATTTCTAATGAATGTTATGAGGACTGTCTTAATGTTTGTAAGGCTTTCAAGGACAATATGATATATACTATGATACAATATGATATACACTATAACTGAAAAAAATCAGAGATTATTAATAATAATAATACATAATTCTGATAACATATTGTGCAGTATCTGATTCTTGTTGTCAGAGGAAACAAAAGAAACTATCTGTCATATTCTAAATATAAAAACTCTAAATGATATGAGCAATAGAGCAAAATATGAAGGGAACCAAACTAGAAATATTGAGAGGCATATTCAGTAGGTTTTTAAGAACTAAAACCATATGGTATTAGCTCATAGGTTGAATGATCTGAATGATCTCAAAGCTCTTTTCCAACCTAGTTAATTCTTGTGATTTTCCTGTTAATTCCTTAGTTAATTCCTATGATTCTATGGTATTCATTTCTGTGATACTTCTAATTAGATTTTTTTAAAGGTCTACCTTATGATAATTTTATAAAGGACATGGGTGTAGTAATTAGAAAAACAAGGCACTTGCTGCAACAGGAGTGCTGCCATTATGGAATCAGCAGAAAGAATCCAGTTTGGGAAGGGTAATTTTGAATGTTTTATGTGCATTTGTAATGGGTTTTTGCAAAAGAAAAGTGACTCTTAGGTAAAATATTGAGATCAGAATGTAACAGCTGTAGTGACACAGGAGGACTTCCTTGGGCAGGAGGAGAATTCTTTTAGTGATTTATGGTCAGTTCTGCCATGGATTCCATCTCTGCCAAACCACTGCAAGGTGTCCATGTCTGGATGCTCAAGGCAATGCATTCTAACACAATTCCAGCCTTTAATTTCCAGCTCTAAAAGCTGTGTGCTCTCCCCCAGGAGCTGAAGGACCCTCACTGCAGGGACGAGATGGCCGCGGCGCGCGGGGCGCTGAAGAAGAACGCCACCATGTTGTACACGGCCTCGCAGGCCTTCCTGCGCCACCCCGACGTGGCGGCCACGAGGGCCAACAGGGACTACGTCTTCAAGCAGGTGCAGGAGGCCATTGCTGGCATCTCCAACGCTGCCCAGGCCACCTCACCCACCGATGAGAACAAGGGCCACACTGGCATCGGAGAGCTCGCTGCTGCTTTGAATGAGTTTGATGTGAGTATCAGCCGGGTGTTATTGGAATAATTACCAATATAGCTGGATGGGACGTGCCTGAGCTTGTCTGGCCCTTGGTGCTGAGCCAAAAAGTGACAATTGTAGTGTTTTACCCTAGAGACACTTTTGGCAGGCTGGGTGTTACAGCTGAGCACTTGGAGGCAAGTACAGGCGTGCAGGAGATCAGGTTTCCCTCCGCTGGAGAAGCTTTAAGGTGATGGTGAAGGAAAGGAGTCGGTTCTGCTGGATTCACAGGCCTCTGAATCCAGCAACAGCTCCAACAGAACTCTCTGAACCACATGGTTTGCTCGTCCTTTTACCTGGGGGAGAGGGTAGGAATATGGGGACCACCAGCAAGGTACAGAAGGGGATGTCTCAGGGGACAAAGGACACCTGGATGGCCCAACGTCCCCCAAGGGTAGAGAGTATCTTTTGAATTCTGCCAATCTCTCAACGCCCTTCTGGGATGCCAGGATTGACAGACAGTGCTCAGCAGGGGTCAGGGTGTGGAAAGGAGAGTGATTGACATGCCTGGGGAAGAAATCTTCAGGGAGAAACCCGGGGTATATGAGGCAAACCATGACATCTCACCGAGACATCACACTGCAACAGGGTGTAGAGAATGAGGTGTTTCTCCACAGAGCTTTAAACTAAGTTGTTCTTACACAGGACTCAAATTCCCCTTTTCGTTCACATCCATTTCCTCAGACTGCAGAGGCAGAGTAAAATCAAGCCACGGATGCAGGGAGGAATGACACATCTGACTTTATGGATATTAGAAGGCTAATTAATTACTTTATTATATGATATTATTTTATACTATATTACACTACATTTAAACTGAATCTGCACAAGCACCCAACTCAACTGCCCAGAATCTTGTGACTGTCTGCTGACAGACAGTTTGGACACGTGCTTGGCCCTGATAGGCCAAGGAAACCAAACACCATCAATTTGGGTAAACAGTCTCCATATTGCTTTCTGCTTTGGTACAACACAGGAGCAGCGAATGAGACAAGAATTGTTTTGATTATTCTTTTTTCTGCTTCTCTCAGCTTCAGAGAATGTGAATCCCACACAAAGGGTAGACATCGATTTGTATTGGTTTTGGTGAGGAATAATTGTTTGCTGCTAAGGGACTGGAGTTACAAGAAGTTATTTGTGCTCATATGCAGTGGCTGGGATAGTGAGAAAAATAACTTCTTGTTATCCTTAGGTTCCTTGACAAATCTCACTACATGGCTATAGAAAATGCAAAGTCTGATTAATCTGGCAGTTTAGTTGTGACCAAGATCTGAGGTTGCTTGAGTGGTAAAATCATGTTTGTCTAGAAGTCAGGAAGACAAGACAAAAAAAGGAAAATGGTGATGGAGCTCAGTGTCCTGAAAACATTAACATTCAGCTTGAATCTTGAATTATGTTAATCAAAGGCGTGGAAAAAGCATCTTTCAAACAGAGTTGATAGCAGTCAGTTCAGCTGTGGGCAAAGTCCTGCAGCCTCCAGCAGCAGATACAGTTTCACTTAAGCAACTTTCCTGACAGCTAATTGTTTAGCTGTTAATTTCATTAGCAGTCCTGTCTGATGATCTCTCCCTGTCTCACATGTGAGGATTGTACTTTAGGCAGTGAATGAAAAGAAATAACTGTCTGTTATTGCAGACAGTCTCTGGCAATAATTTCATCTTTCATTTTGACTTAAGGCAAAGACTTGTTGAAGTTATTACTGGGGAATGGTGTCCTTTTCACTTTGATTAAGACACAAGGTTGCAATCCCAGCATCTGTGACACCAGGAGCTGCTCAGTCCTGCTGCACTTAGGGCTGGAAGTGGAGGTGCAGTGCAGGTGGTTCATCTCACAGCGTGTTGCACTGGGCTTGTCTCCTCCATCCATTCTTACATCTGTGGCTTTTCCTGCACAGTTACTGTGGTTTAAGATTTAAGGAATTCCTCAGGGTTTTCAGGGCCCTGGTTGGTAAGATCCTGGGAATAATAGCCCTGTGTGGTCTGACTGTGCTCCAGCTTTTGTGTGGGACTTTGCACGTTATGGACAGCAAAGGTTTGACAAACAGGGACAGAAAACATGTGACTTCTCAGTCCCAAACTGATGATGCTGCTGCTGCCTTCTGGAAAAAAGGCTGTTGTTCAATGCAAAGAGAGTCGTTGTGCTTAGTGAAAATAAATGTAGTGAAGACTATGCAAGACATCAGATATTGTCCCTTTCCTGTATAAGAATATTCATCCTTCTTCTGCTCAGGTAAAGTCTTTTCCACTTTCAGTGATGGTGCAGGAGCCATGCATGTGTGTGGGAGATGTGTAGCCATAGTAGCATGTTCTTTTCATAATTATGTGTAGAAAAACAGCCTTTTTGGGGAATTCTCTCTTTCTTATTTTAGGAAACTAAATGAAAACTTTGACTTATGAGGACACAGAGCCTGAAACAATTCTATTACTCATTTTCTAAGTCACTGCTTAGCTGTTGAAGGAGATTTATTCACACCTAATGGTGCATCAAAGATGATATTCCCTAGCCTCCAGGGAAAAAGATGATATTCCCTAACCTCCAGAGAAAGTCAAAATTTATAGCTGGTGATGGTGGGATGATTGTGAATTTACCTTTATGTTTTACAAGCAATATTAGCAGACTAGTGAAACTGTGTCATGAGTTAAAAGGTGGTGGAAAAAAAAAACATTGCTGTTTACAGTGGCACTGTATTACTTCTGCAAGGGAAAGGAACTTTGTATATTCTAATGAAAATAATTTTACAGAATATTTATTTTACAGTCTCAGTCATAATAATAATTTTATATTTGGTGGGAAGTGCCTACTAACCCCTGCATTATGATGATGACTGTATTAAAAATAAGTTTACATTTTTTTCCATTATTTTAACACTTCTCAGCCCTCATTATTTCAGATTTTGGAATCAGTGTTCTGTGGCTTAGAGCTTCAAATAACTGCAGTGTGAATAATTTGAACATTTTCTCAGTCAAAATATCATCACATGGAATACAAATAATTATTCTACCTATTTGAAGCACAGCCATTGTGTTTAACTAGGTCTTTTGATAATTGTCTCCCTCTATTCACTGGGGGGTTGTGTAAAGTCACCTGTGAGTTATTAGCAGCAAAGTTTTGAAGATGGTTGTCATTTATTGCTTCTCAGAGATAATTTATGTAGAAATAAGGAGAGTTCACAAATCTGTTCCTTAGTAGATTTTTCCTTTAAAGTCCTATTTGAAGTTGATTGATGACAAAAGAATGTGTGTAATGCCTTGTTGCTTTGTCCTTTCACTTCCATGTTGCTGCTTTACTCTTAGATCATTTAAAAACAGGTATTCCTGGTCTTACTAGTAATTTATTATTAAAATTTGTCATCTATTTTATGCTCATGAAATATCTCTGAGTCCTTAATGAAAATGGGGGTGCACAGTTTATTTCCCCCTCATGATATTTAGCCAAATTTATGGAAGTCGCATAGATAAATATTTGAAGAACTTACTTTGAACTCTGAAGAGGCTCTGTTTTCACTCAAGAAATGGCAGTTTTGATCTGGTAAGCTCTCATCTCTTCTGGTTATGGAGGGACGGCTTTGTTGGCACATGTTCAACTGTGGGATGGATTTATCTGGTGTCCTCCCCACAGCCTTCATGGTGTGCAGCAGAGACAGGACCTGCACATCAAACTGGAGTGTGGTGGGGAGGTAGATAAAAAGAGAATGAAATTATTGAGTGAGAAGAATTGCAATGAGAAAGACCAGGAAACTGTGCTGGATGAAAATGAGATGAAGATAGATGGCATCGATACTGGTGTGTGTTTGGTAACTGCAAAGGGGTAAAAATATATGTGGATGTAAAAATATATATTTATATCTACAAATAAAGAAAGGAATAATTTTGTTCAGGGAAGGGACTGAAGTTGGGGAAGGGTCTGGAGCCCCAGGAGGGGCTGAGGGAGCTGGGAAGGGGCTCAGCCTGGAGCAAAGGAGGCTCAGGGGGCCCTTGTGGCTCTGCACAGCTCCTGACAGGAGGGGACAGCCAGGGGGTCGGGCTGTGCTCCAGGGAACAGGGACAGGATAAGGGGAAGCAGCCTCAGCTGTGCCAGGGAAGTTTAGATTAGATATCAAGGAAGTTTTCTTCACCCAAAGGCTTGTCCAGCCCTGGCACAGCTGCCCAGGGCAGTGGTGGAGTCTCCAAGCCTGGGGGAATGTAAAAGCCATGGGGATGTGGCACTTGGGGACATGGCTTATTGGTGGCCCTGGCAGGGCTGGAGTTGGACTGGATGACCCAAGAGAGCTTTATCAATCCAAACAGTTCTGTCATTCCATGATTGTCTGTACCACAGCAAGGACTGCACACAGATTGTTGGGGAATTTGTTCTCCATCATGGAATAGAGAGGGGGCAGTGGCAGGCAAAAATAGGATTTACTGGGCACTTGGGATCTCTGGTGAGTAGGAGGGTGCCTGCTCTCAGAATATGGACTGGGATTACAATTCCTGAGTCCTGAGGAGTGGAGCTGTGTCAGTGGGATGTGCTGACAACACCTCAGAAGTGCTAATCACAGTGGAAATTCAGATTCTAGGGGTTTCAGACCTACAGTGCTTTACATTTTAAGCAATTATAAATAATTTCCTTTAGATTTGGATATGAAAAATGAGGGCAATCATTCTTGTACAGTGCTGGGAGGGTGGGTGTAATGGTGTTGTAAATATAAAGCTGTTTACTATGCATGCACCATAACTCCATAAAAAGGATTATTCCTGTGTTTGAAGCAGGGCTTGAATTATCTGCAATAAAATTAAATAGAATTTATAAATCCTCTGATTTAGAGCGGGGAGGAGAAGATATCTAAAGGAAAAAAGGACCAAAATCCCTTTCCTCCACTGATGCCAAAAGCAAATATCTGTTGTTTTCTGTATTGCTCCAGAAAGAACTGATGAGATGGCTTAGCTGACTTTTCTCCCTGCCTTTTGTGTTTGTGTGTGCAAGTTCTGCCTCTAGCA